CCATCGCAGAGACATGAAGCCATGCAAACAACACACCCAATCAGAGAAGAGATGCCACTTATCCAAACCATTACATTTTGGGACTGTAGAAGGAAGGCAGAGTACCTGGAGAGAACCCAGACATAAACAGGGAGAACATGCAAATTCTACGCAGACAAAATGCCATTAATCTTAACACTGGACCTTCTTGCTGCAGTGGTGGATGATAGCCACTAGCTAGAGAGAGAGTGAACAACATTTACATCTGCAGTCAGCATTCAACAAGCCCAATCATTTTTATAAACTTTCATTGTGGACCGTACACTCAGAAACAACATGTGAGTATTAACAGATGTCTGATAAATAGAGTAGATGGCATCGTCTGCATTGGTAGATTGATAAGGATTATACAGAGTGTTCAACTGAATCAACTGAAGTGTGGTAGCCTCATACCGGGTTAAACAAACACTGCTGTTTAACGTCTAAATGTCGTTACACCTGGTAAAGACATTTAATAGGACCCCTGGTGTCCTCGAATTAAGTCTTGGGCAGCGTTCACTCTGCTGTTTGTTGTTTTACTGCTGTTTCTAAGCGGTTAGAAAGCAGTGTCTGAGATATACCAGCTCTATATTATCTATAAACATGGCCCAACTGGAGCGCTAATTCTGAATGCTTAACTCAGAGCTTAGCAGCCAGCAGCTCTCAGGTAGTTTAATCTTTAACCTCTTCTCCACAGGCCGAAAAACCCATTTAAACCCACAAACAATCGGCTTTTAGTTGCAGCGGGAACAGTGCACTGACATGCGTCAACCTGGGTGAAACGACTTTGCCGGTCTGGATTAGCATACAATGGGAACCGCAGACCACTAATTTTGTTTGATAGCGTGGAGCGCAACATATGGACATCAACACACCGCTCAAATAACGTCTGATCGAACAAGCTGTAACCCTGCTTACATTCGATAAACACAGCGAAGCGCTGCTGGGAGAGATTGAGAGGGATAAAAGTGCAAATCAATAGAG